GAGGTTAAATTTTTTGTTTGTTAAACACAAGTTTTTTAAAGTGACGACCAAGCGGCCAGTGTCTGACAGTGTGTTTGCCATGTTTGATCAATTAAGCCTTCTCAAATCAAAACTTGACTTGCCTACAATAAAATCCATAGACATGAAACACTTCAAACATATCACAATGTTAGTTTAAACGTTTAACCTAGATAAATGTGCGTTGTTAGGTGCATGTCCAAGTGTTTGCACTGAAAGCGTGCTTAATGCATGGAGGCAGCAGCATGATCACTTTTTTTCTTCTTCCTGATAACAGTAGAAATAACTTAAAATACACAATAATTTTTGCTCATATATAAATAAGAGTAATACATCAATCAAAACTGTAAAGTCTACTTTTATTTGTGTACACTCACAATGACAAAAAAAATGCTGTGCTTTAGTAAAATAAAGAAAAACGGCTTTCTGCCATCTTGGTCTCTCGTGCACTGGAGCGCAGCACAAAAATGAACCAAAACTCAGGGTACATAAGCTATATGCCTCACAGATATGAGAAATATATAGAAAGCTTGAAATGTCTATTCTAAAACGAAACAATTCAAATCGAAAAAGGTGCATTTCTCTCTGAGTGCACATCCACTGTACTGCGGAGATGGCTAGTCAGAATCGTCAGCTTCATCTTTGCAGATTCGGTCTCAGAAAACACTAGTTTATTAATAAATTATTAAAATATCTTCTTGCTATTTTTCCCAGACACATTCATAGTCATCAATAATTCAACAAGCACGCCTAACAATATAAGACTGATCTTAAAAAGGATTTCCCCCCCCCCAAAAGACAGGGGTTCACATTGGTAAAAATCCAATTACATCATCCAACTTTCTAAATAAAAAAAAAGTGGAACGAAAATGAAATGGAAACAACCAACAAAAAATTGTCCTTACCTGAAACTTCCTTTTTTTCCTGGTCAAACTTCCAGTCCAGTCACTAATACGCCTAAATCTGTTCCTGATGGACACTTTCTTTCCATTATTGTCTAGAAAAGGCTTTGGTTTCTGGCTAGGTAGGGTGACGGAGCAATATTGCATTTCCTCTTGGCCCCCCTCTGACCAGAGTTCCTCCATCACGGACACAAAGGAGGACCTGTGCTTTAAATGGCTATTATTTGAAAACGGCAAATCCTTAACCATGGGGAAGGTGGCAGCAATTCTGGGATCCTTGTAGAGGTCAGCTATAGTAATGGCAGGCAACTGCTCAGTGAGAAAACCCACTTTTGTTGAAATACTTGGTCTTTGGCTATTAGGGGATCCATTGTCTGAATCGTGAAGTTCAACACTAGTCCCCCAGGGCAAGTCGAAGGAGCCATCTGAGCTCAGAGAGCTACCTTTACTGCTTTTGAAGCTGGCAACTGCCTGTGGAGCTCCAAAATGGGCTTGTAATGATGGTGTTACACCAGATAATCTAGAATTGGACTCTAAGGTGGGGGAAAACTTGAGGAGCTGAACTGGTCCAGCGCAATCATCCAAAATAAGGGCGCTGTTGGAA